TTAGTGTGTTTGCTTGTACAATGCACATCTTGGACTGTGGCTGGGACTGTGCCAAAACAGAGGTAAAAATGACAGAAACAGATTTAAGATTTTGATCCTGCAGTCAGAGGCAAATAGTTCTCAGCAATGATGGATTTCAAGAAATGGAAAAATCATGTTATTACAGTTTGATTAATTCCAGCTTGACTAAAAAGCCACCCCTTTGTGTAGAGCTACTATGTGGCTAACCACCATAGTAATCCCACTAAGGCAATATCTTGTAGTAATGAAAAAAACCTCAGAGGAACTTGAGTACTTCCTACCTGGCTGTATGCTAGGTTCATCATGCTTCACTGAGAAGAGTCCAGCATGCAGGCTTGGAGGAGCAAGTTAAGGGACAGAAAGTACAAGCCCCATGTTTTCAGTCCTGGTTGTGCTGCCTTTTTACTTTTAAGCTGAAGTTACTGATTTGCCTCAGTTACTCAGTTACAGCTGCATGAGTGGAATAGTATTTACTTGCCTGTCTTACTGAGATGTTGGGAGAACTCTTAATTATTACATTTGCAATGTTCTCAGGTTACCCTAAATTTCTACTTTTTGCAGACAAGTTTTCCTTTATACTGACTTTACCCTTTTGAATCCTGACAGATCATCTATAACATGTAGAATAATAAATAGGCTAATAATCTCTTAAATCATCAAGTGATAACATAAAAATAGACAGACTTTTGAATGGTAGATGATTCTTACTTTTCTTTTAAAATTACATAAGTGACAATCAGAAGTAATAGCATAAAAACCAGCATAGCCTTTTTTTTTTTTCCACCTATAATTAAATATACTTCTAAATTACTTCAGTTACCACCAGAATAGGCCATGGAAACAACTGATATAATCCTGATTATTATCTAATCTTCTTGTTTCAAGCTAGCCTGTAGAGTCTTACTCTTGCCTCACTTCACAATTACTTTGGCCAAAGTCAGTCCTAATGCTTGTTCTCAATGCCAGGAAGAGTAGTGCAAACTAACATTTATTTCTCTGTAATACTGGTAAATCTGTGTATGAGAAAGTACAAAGATATTTAAAGAGGAGTTTGTCAGATTATTCTACTAAAAAAAAAAAACCCTGCTTTGCTGAAATGTGGGATCTCTATATCTTTGTGTGTCCAGGGAGAGATTGGCAGAGAGATGTACATCATCAAACAAGGAGAAGTACAAGTTCTTGGAGGCCCTGATGGTAAAAAAGTCCTGGTTACATTAAGAGCAGGAGCTGTATTTGGGGAAATCAGGTACATCTATCACTATTTTTAACGCTTTCTTTAGAATCGGTCAAATAATGACTGTTTAACTTTTCACTGGTAAGCATGACAGTTACCATGGGGAGGCTAGAAAGTCGGGTAGCATCCACCAAGAGGACACCGAGCAAAGAGATGTAGATAAGTGAAAGACAATTTAGGTGATACATAAGAGGTTAATTTAGCAAGATTTGAGACTTCTGAATGACAAATAACACGTAATCAGTGTTTTAGGCAATGCACACAGGGACATACAAACAGGATTCTTCTTCAGCGTTGAAAAGATTTAATATATCTTCCTGCTCCAAGGTCTGCAGTACAGCAGGACCATATGTTTTCATATTGCTTGTGCAGTGAGACTAGATGCCCTAGATGCCTAGATACGCAGCAGATACTAAAAGTGGTGATTCATTTCCAATGAGGGAAAGAAAATATCTGAAATAGCAAATGAGATTGATTCCTTTAGGAGCTGATATAGAGATTAAGTCACTGAAAATCAGGCACCCACATAGGAAAATGCATTTGTTGACGAGAAAGAAAAAGGCTGGCAGACCAATTGCGGGGGTGGGGGGGGTGGTCTGACTTTTTCTGGAGGAGAAACTTTTTCTCAGGTGTCTACAAATGTTTTTCCTGTTCTTCACATTGCTGCTATGCAAAATCCATTAACTCTTATGTGCCATGTCTGCCAATTAGCCAACCAAGTACTAGATTTTAGGCACTGCATCCCCTGCTGAAGTTGGCCTGAGGAAAAAGTAATAAAATACATGTGCTGCTGCATGTGATAAACTGGGTCCTTGATTCCTTCCAGCTGCCTCCCTGTTACTGTTAATCCTCTTGCTGGTAGCTTTAATCTGTCTTTTGAAAAGCGGTAATCAGCACTGTGCCAGGTTTACACTTATCTTCTCCTTTCCTCTGTCTTTGTGGTAGTGGAAACATGCCAGTTTAGGCAGTGATGTGTGTACAGGACTTGCTCAGACCTTCAGGCAGAAAACACTTGATCTATCCCATAGATACAGGCCTTTTTCAATGAGTGGGAAAATGAAATTATATCAGCTGTTTGAGAGAAGGTTATTTTAAAAGTATTCCTCTATGCAACAATATAATATTAGAGCAAAGCCCCAAAACAAAACGCTGAGTTGTAAGCTATGTAGAAAGGCTGAGAATGCACTGGTTTTCAATAAGGGCTGGATACTGAAAAGATAAAAGAAAAACGGTACAGCAGCCCAGATAAGTAACCCACATATAGTTTTCAATTATTTCTGAGTTCTGCATTTGGAGTGAGGACTTTTTTTTTTTTAAACACAAGAAATGATAATGATTGATTTTAATGCAAGGAAGGGATTTTCAAACATTTTTAAGAAGTGAGCACTTATTTCTACATGAGACTGACCACACACTGACCCACACACTGACCAAAGTTTCATTACACAATATATTTTACTCTGCACATAATTGTCAGTACAGTCAATATTGCCAATATGCCAGTAAAACCCTCAGCAACGCTATAAGCCTACACTTCTAGCTTTGTTTTATTCCTCACTGACCTACCACTTTGGTGGAGACAACATGACATCCTTACAAGAGTATCAGCACAGATATAGGTACTCTGGATATAAACGGCATAGACTTGAGGAGAAAATACACAACAACTGCGATACTCAAAAATGCACAACAATCAACAAAACTGAAGAAAAACAAAGACCTGAATCATTAAGTATATCAGCAGAGGTTTATCCTCCTTGTGGCACTGTGTTAGAAAATAGTGAGTTTATATAGCACTTTTCTATATAAGTTCTGTTAAGGTTTTCTGAATACCGTACAGTAGAAGAAAATGAAATAAAGAGAAAACTTCTTTAATGGAGGAAATACTGCTTCTTTTAGTACATTCAGGTTCTTCCCCCAGTATTCATAGCATGGTTATCACCATGGTGTCAGACTGTCATGATCTCCTTCTGACTTCTGATTCAAGATTTGTTTAGAAAAATATGTCAGCTTATTTCTCGGTGGTCTAGCTATAAAAGATAAAAGCTATTTAGTCTCGCTCTGTTCAAAATGCATGTAAATCCTCCTTAAAATGTGTCTATGGGAGTTGAAGAAAACAAAGAATTTTCATGCATTTCAAAAATTTACAAACTTTCAAAATTTGTTTGCATTTTTCCTGAATTATACTAGAAGACCAATGCAAGCATAATGGTCAAACCAGTTCTTTGCCAATTTCATTCTTGAAAATTACTACAGAAAAAGACTAAGTAATAAAAGCTGCCTTCCATTTAACGTCTTACCCTTGTTACTGCTTTCCTGTATAGATAATATCAGTTTGGGGAAGCAAAATAATCTTAGAATCAGAGGCAAACAGATTGCTGCATTAATGGGAGCCTGTCTGCACAGATAATTGAGAAAGAGAGAAATTCAGGAGAGGAAAAGTATAGCAAAACACTTCATTAGCCGAGAAGTTTACACTTTAAGCCAGATGTCTTTGTTCCTCCCTTTTGTCAATTATTACACTAGCACAATTTCCCATCAGAAAAGGATAATTCTGGAAAAATTAAAACATTTCACTATTATATCTAAATTTTTGACAGGACTTTCTGCAAAAGTTTGGTCTCAGCTTAAGTCTTTCAACAGTTATGTTATATTATCATCTGTAAAACAAGATAAAATTAAATAGAGTATGTAGTCTTCTGACAAATTTTCAGCTTTGGCCCGGAATTTCCCATGAAGCAGCAGCTGCTGCTTTTCAATGAGCTTTAGCATTTGACATTCTGCTCAAGAAGCAAGATCCAGACCTATTTCTCTTTTTCTGACTTGCCAGTTCTCTCCATAGACATCCAAGTGCTGGGCTGAGGAGCCACCACCCTGGTGATCAGCTGATCAGCACACCATTTCCTGGATCAATTTTGCTAATTTCAAGGAAGGACAGCTTCCTACAGAAATCAGTTATAAAAGAGAAACTGATAAGCTTAGTCATCACTCTGACAACTTGATACTTCTAAATTAAAATTGCTACCATAAGAATTCAAAAGATAACCTTTCACACTAATATTACAGCATTTTAGGCTAATAACTGGAGTAAAAAATGTAAGGCAGAAAAAGCAATTTCTCTAATAATATCAGAAACTACAGTAAGGTGAATGTAGTTATTTTTAAAGGTTTAGTCTGTCACCTAACTCTTAGTGCACTGGCCAAAACAGAGCCAGTCATGAAGTCCGTAATGCTGTCCTTAGTCGAAGATGATTTTGTTTGAGCAAGGCCTTACTTGTAAAATTCACCTCACATCACTACTGTAAGGAAAAAGCTGATCTCTTTAGTCCTATTCTACCTCAATGAAATGAGCTTTCTGTTGGAACAGCCTGAAAATAATTGTTCAATGGTTTGTTGAGAAGTAATTCATCAGAGCCAAGCTATTTGGAATTTTCAGTAGCTGCTCTCCTTATTGTGCAGATACTTATTTTTCTGTCTGAGAAACTGTACATAATTGTTGTCTAAAAAAAGACCTGATACACTGCATTTCAACCTTGAGTTCATATATTAATAGCTATCTTGCGTGTGTTTGCATGTGTGTAAAAATAGCCTTATACATAGAGTCACAGAGGTCTCATGTTATGCATTATAAATCAAGTATAATCTGTATAATCTAATATTTATAAATACCTTATATAAATATCCTTGAAATTAAAAATCAATTTAATATATCATTAATTAATATTAAGGATAAATATTAATTCATGCTTAATAGAAGATGGAGTGCACAATATTTTTATAAATATTAACTATCAGGGAAACAATTAAAGGATACATTTCTATTGTGGATCTCCTTTAGTACAGCGATAAAACAACTATTAATACTAACAGTAACATGCAACTTCTCTTTCTTAACACTACAACTGAGAAGTGAGGTCTCTTCATTTTGTTTGTTTAATGTAAGATAAGCAACTTAATTGTTATGTGTACAACATATTTTTATGTAGATATCCTTCCTATGTTCACCTACTGCTTGCTAAGACAGTCTAATGCTTTACTTTTAAAACAAAACAGCTTTCTCACACAGACACATTTTTACCTGTCAGGTCGAAAGACCTTCTCAATCCATATCATTCAACTTGCCAACATGCAAACGGGAGATGAGATATGTTAGAAGACTGATAACCAGGGACCCACAAAAGTTATTCAGTCAGGAAAATTAAAACTCTTGGGGTGGGGAATAATTCATTCACCGTAAATAACTTGTAATAGTATCACATGTGCTGCCCTATTACTCAGGTAAATCATTTTCAGCAATAAAACTGAGGGAATTCTAAGTTGACATGAGAGCTAAAACAAATGCAATCCTTGCACTGAAATATGTCTATCCAGCAAGACTTTTCACAGTCCTCAGCATCAGCCCAGTCCTGACCAGTAGTGACAATTTGCCTTCTTGAGGCAAAAGATATTTTCTATCCTAACTGCAAAAAGAGTCTGCAGAATATCAGATATAATAGTTGGATAAATGAACTTTGCGATGACTTAAGTGGGGAACACCAGCAAAGAGACTCCTCATGATGGCAAGAAACAACCTGACTGTCCACACTTATTTTCATTCCAGCCTATTAGCAGCAGGTGGAGGAAATCGGAGGACTGCCAACGTGGTGGCTCATGGTTTTGCCAACCTTTTCATTTTAGACAAGAAGACCCTCAATGAAATTTTGGTGCATTATCCTGACTCAGAAAAGATTCTGATGAAGAAAGCAAAGTATGTCCTAATAATAATTTTTAAATCATATTGTTTAGCTGTGGAATGAACAGTTGTGGCTTCTAGATAGATTTGCACTAATTTCCTGGAAGATTAACAAATATAAACACATTTGTATTTAGATGTCAAATTTTTATGGTAGCATTTAGTGGAAGCCATGGTCTTGGCAGGGATGCCAAGCTGTGGAGTGTGGTAAATAAAATGAAGTTCCGAATGCAGTTGCCTTCTCCCTTATAAATAAGGCAATGAAACACATAGGAGATACAGATGATAACAGGACTCTTTATATACCCAAGAAAGATAGAAATTGCAAGATAGATGTCAGTCAAAGAGCAGGGCTTCAAAGATGCAACTGAGAACTTGCAATTAACTCTAAAGACATAAGTATTAATAGACACAGACTTGAATGCATTTCCAAAATCTTAAAGAGTAGATAGGGATAGATTTGAAGTAAAGGCTGACAAGATCAGAGATATGTACACAGATCTGAGAGGTGTGCATTTTGTGCAAAGGGCTTCTGAAACAGGATTTCAAGTTGAAACTGTTTTTTACCTTGCTTTGGCTGTAGCTTGCTAGGGTGAGTTTCCCCTGGCTTTGCAAGGAAAAAATATCATCAGATTTTGTCACAACAAAATCATGAAAATGAGTACCTTGCCACCTTCTAAATCGAAAAGGTCCAAACATAGGAAACAGTTTTTCATTATTAGCATCCTTTGGCACTCTGCTGTTCTGAGCTGTTTCCTTACATTGATATCAAAAGGTGGAGGACGTCCCAGATCTGAAATTCCACCAGAGGAGACAAAACAGTACAGGAATGACATTTTGTTTAGTGAAAGTGCCAGCAAACAGTTGCATTTAGCATATTTCAAAAATCCTGCTTATCAAATAGAAGTGTCTTAAGAATCATCACTTTCCTGAGGAGCAAGAAATGCAGACACAGAATGGGCTTATTGCCACCTGAAAGTGCCTCCTCTGTAAGGTGTTTCCCAAAACAGTCTGTTGGACTCTTGCCAATGGCACTTCCTGTTCGTGGTATAAAGAGAGAAAGGAAACTGAATCCACGACAATATAAAGAAGCCTAAAAACCAAAAACATTGAGCAGCTTAGATTCTAGGTGAAGGCAAGCAGAGCCATGCATGTCAGCCAGTCACTGGGAGCCTGTGACATCAAAAAATGTCAGGAAAAGCTCGTCTCTCGACTGTACTAGTTCCCAGATAAACTGAAGACCAGGAGCATATATACACCAGACTCAGTGATGGACTCTTGAATGAGACAGGAAGGCTGATGCCCATGGCACCAAACAGGGAAGTAGGAAATACACAGATCTTGCCCATTTGGTAAGTGTTTTCACACTAGCGGTCTTCAGAGAGGCTGATTTTCAAAACCAGCATCAGCTGGTGGGAAGGTAGAACAAACCCACTGACAGATGGTCCCCAGCAACTATTCTTCCTACCTTGTCTCCAGCTTCTTTCTAAATAGTTGTATGACCATCACTACTTGTTATTTCAGCTTCTCTGTCTCACACCACTTTCTCCTGTTTCCTAGCCCTCCCCCATCTCATCCTGCCTAGCCATTAAATTCTAGATAGTCTTTCTCAACTGCAGGAGCTTAAACATTAGCCATCCTCCACATATACAGTCACATCTGGGCCCAAAGCCCTTTCTAGGTATCAGCCTTACAGCCTCTGTGTAATTTACAAAATATGCAATATTTTGTTTAAGCACAGTATCCTGGGCTGGAGGCTGTGTTCTCTGCTCACCTGTCTGGGCATCCGCTAATCAATCCAACAGCTCCCATGTTCTGTGTATGACAGTCACATGTCCTGAAACACTAGACACAAATAGGAGGTTTGTGCACTATTTTGATAGTGATTTGCAGTTATGTTCAATTTTGGAATCACATCATTAGTTGCTCTGTCCTGAAAGGTTTACAGTGAAGATCTCTGTGGAATTACATTGGCCATCCCACACCTGTAAAAGACCTCTTGGAATAAACTACCTGATATAACTCAAAGGAGTTATTCAAGTCACAGATTTGTTCTATTATCACCTACCTGATATTCACTCTACAGTGCTTAATCCTTGGTGCTTAATTACTATGTATGGTAATTAATCCATGGAAGCTACTAAAGTGTACCTTTTTAATTTATGGCAACAAAACTAAAAAGGAAAAAAAAAAGTATAATCTTCGCTAATGAAATTGCCCAAGTTGCAAAGTGCAAAACACTGGAAAAAAGTAGCAGTACTACGGGATTTATTGTATTTTAGGCTGCCAGAATAGTACTGACTCCCAAAAACATATGGGTCAGGACTTTTGCAAGGATAAAGAAGTTGTCGTGGAAACTCTATCGTAACCTAACAGAAACTGAAAGCATGGGAATCGGACGCTTTTCACTGGTTCTATCTGTCTTGAAACCCTCATCTAATCATCATTCTTTACTTGTTGCTCTAATGACTGCAAATCAGGACTGCAACAGAAGGATATGAAAACCATGACTGGCTCCATGACTGGTAGCACTAGTAGTTTCAATATCTGAAAGGTAATTTACTGAGGAAGACCAAAATAAGTGCCACCGTCTAACTGGAGCTGAGAGTTGAGCCATGCTGAAAGTGAGTGAACTGTTACTTCCACAAGCATCAGCTCGACTCCAAATAGAGCAGTAAACACGCTCTGAATTTGCATCCAGAAGGCCAGACAGGAGAGATGTACCCCAGACACAAGGCATCCATCCCTTCCTCCACCCGCAACTATTTTACACCTTACCTGCTTTATGGTACTTTGAGTCTGCTCTTGTTTATTCTACAGGATATAGGTAAGAAATTCCAGATTAGACTAGAGCAGCAGCCTCTAATTTACTATAAGTTCTACCAGAGTAGAGTACCAGGGTAAAAACCTTACCCTTTCCAGCTTGTTATTGGCTACTGGAACTGGAATAAAAAATTGGCTAGAAAAATTGTTAGAACTGCATCCCTGAATTTAAGTTTTGCGTGAACTTTTCTGGGTTTCACTGCACTGCTTTATGCTCTCTTTCTTTCCTGTCTCCAGGGTGCTGCTGAAGGAGAAGGGGAAACCCGCGCCTGGACCGCCAGTGCCCCAGCCCCGGGGCTTGGCCAGTCTGTTTGGGCAGAAACAGGAAACTCCAAAATTGTTCAAGGCAATGATCGGAGGTAAAGGAAAAACAGGCCTTGCTATGCTGCTGAAGCTGAAGAGAGAACAAGAAGTTCAGGTAATGCCATAGAAAACAGAATAGATTCTTCCAGGGAGAAGCTACTGGGAGAACTTGGGAAGAGTAGAAGAATATGTAGCCTTATCAATGAAATCAATGGTAAAAGCTCCCAGCAGGTGTGCTACTAACCATTGTACCTAAGCTCTGTAAATACTGGTTCTCAAACTTGGCTCAAATCTTCCTGGATCTGGACTCTATGTCAGACAGAGAAAACAAAAGAAAAAAAAGAAGCAAGAAAAAGGAAACAAACAAACAAGCCCATAGAAAATAAGGCAAGAATAGATTTTTACAAAGACCGCCATCCGATCTATTCATTTGATCTAAACAAAAGTAAATACCGAAATATCCTAAAACAGTAATAGGATATTAATAAGCTGACTCAAGCACAGAGTTCATACACTTTCCATCTCAAGTTCAGATCTTTTCTTGTTGCAAATCTTGAGGACAAAATTTTAAATTTAGCCCACACAGCTAAACCTGATTCAATCTGTAACATACTGCACTTATGAGAAAACTGTTATTACAGTTGATGGAAAACAATCCCCACATTACAAACTGTTCTGAGAAATGTTCATGTTAATAAGAAGCTACACAGTTCTACACAGTTACCCAGAAGTGGCAGAACCCCCGTCTGTCTTTAATAGCTGAACTGGCTGTGTGGGGTTTTTTTTTTTTTTAGTTAAATAAAAAATTTAGTTCACATAGATTTCTACAGCACTATTATTGAAGCGAAAACTTAGTTAATTTTTTTTTGTATTAATATAAGTATATAAAGGAAGGTAAGATCTCAAGAAAGGTTTGTGTGCCCCAAAACTTGTCCATTTCATCCTGCCGTATTAAGGAGAAGCAGCTACTATCGCTACCCACAAAATCTCCTAGGTTTTACTTTGACATCTTCATTCTAAAATAACATTTTTCACTTAGAAATTGAATTTCAGCAGCTGAATGCAAATTTATGTACTTTGCCTAATGTTAATCACAATACCCACGGTGTGCCTTACCACTACATATACAAAATAGAACTGCTTGAATTTCCTCTGCAGCAATTGGAAAAGCGTAACTTCTCATTTCTAGGAAAATGAAGCTAAAGCAGATGAGAAGAAGCCTGAACAAGATGAGAAGAAGCCTCTGGAGCCTGTTGCCTCATCTACAGTCCCTGCACAAAAGGAAAAGCCAAATGCAGACACTAAACCCACGCCACCTGCAGTTATGCACAGAGGAATCACTAACAAGTCTCTAATCATTAGTATGTCTCCTTCCCCCATAGCAGGAGAAGGAGAGATCCTTAAAGTTGAAGTTGAAGAGAAGAAAAAGTAATAGGTGGGTACTTTGGGCTATGACCCTATCAAATGTCTTGCTGAAATCAGAGGGCTAGCGTGACCTTGCTTTTGGGTAAAGAAGATAAAAGTAGACTGCTTAAGTGATAATCTACCCCAGTTCCTTTTCTTCCCTCCCTCCTCTTCCAAGACAACTAGACAAATAATTTGTATACTTACTTTTCAACCTTGATCCTGAAGAGAGAACTTCTGGTGTGGTAGGAATTAGAGCTCAAACTGTATTTCAGGATCACTTGTTTCTTGTTTTGTCCATGCTCTCCATTATATTACTCTGCTTCTCCTTTCCCCTTTCCCCTTTATTCTCTCTTTCCTTCCTATTCTCAGCTTGCTTTTAATTTTCATATGTATTCTTTTCTGGTTTCCCATAGTTATCCTTCTTCTTGCTACTGCATTACTATTGCTGAGGTTGGCCATGTTTCCCTCCATCCTCGTCTCTCCTCCTCTTATACTTCTAATTAACGACTTGCTTTTGTGACCAGTGTGGCTCAGTGCTGAAAACTGTGATGCTATGTGTCTATGTGTTTGGACGCTTTAGCTTGGGAGAGAGCTACGCTGACCGTACCGTCGTCCAAAAAAAAAAAAAAAAAGAAAACACAAACAAACTTCAAAGGGGAAGCAGACTGCAGAATTACTGCCAGCTGAAAGAATTACTCTCTACTGAAAGAAGGAGCCTCTGCTCCAGTTGTCTCTACTGACTCTGGCGAATAAAATTGACAAAAGGTTTTGTTTGATTTCCCCTCCCCCCTGCCCAGGAGTGACCTTTAACTTCAGGTTGCTGACTTATGTGTTTGATCTCCTCAAGGGGTTGGGCATTAATAATGCTCTCTAAAGACAGGGCAAGCAGTTGATAACTTTTTGTAGAAGCCTGGTATCTAAGGTGGCCACCATGGCAACTATAAAGGTTGTTTTTATAAAAAGCAGGATTTAACATGTTGTCTCTGTGGTGCACAGCTCCAGCCAACGTGCTGACTGCTACAGTTGTTCACCTCCACAGAACCTCGATTTATGGTGCAACGCAAGCCCTGTGCCTTACAAGGGCTGGGAAATATCCTACCTATGAACTGAAATAAACCCTTTACCAAGGTCACAGCTGAGAGGGCTACAGCCTTCTAACAAGAGACTCCCCCACTGTCACCGTTCTGCATCCACTCATCACAGGAAGTGGTATAACATTAAACAAGAGGCCAAATATGTGTTTTAAACTTAACTCTCAATTACTCTTGCTTTGTTCACTCACAGATGGTAACAACAATACACATATGCTTTAAAGAAGAGTGAACTGCTAAGGTAAAACAAGAGAAAACCACCCCCCAAAGCCCAGTAACCCTCCAAATCCTTCTCTTCCACAAGTTCATGCCTCCTCTCTCTCCCCATCCACTTCCTACCGGAAGGACAGTTCCAGGAATAAAAGTCATTTTCCAGAGACCAGCCAAGACATCTGAAGACAGGCTTCACAGCTGCTCAGCTGTCCAGCCGAGCAAGATAGAAGGAAAGCTTAATGGGGAAATGAAACAATTCACTTGACAGGCTATGTATGACCGTATGGGCTATATACTACGCAGGCCTGTTCTATAAAGCCCTTGAACTTCCCCAGTCAAAAGCAAAGGCATTAAGGGACTGCAGTCTCTCTCATACTAGAAAAGGCTGAGAGAGCTGGGCCTGTTCAGCCTGGAGAAGAGAGGGCTTGGGGTGGGAGGCAGATCTCATCAATGTCTATAAATATCTGATGGGAGGGCTTAAAGAGGACATGGCCAGACTCTTCTCAGTGGTGCTCACTGACAGGACAAGAGGCAATGAGCATAAACTCAAATACGGAAAATTCCACTCAAACACAAGAAACCATTTATCCACTGTGACAGCGGTTGAACATAGGAACAGTTTGCCCAGAGAGGTTGTGGAGTCTCCATCCTTGGGCGACACTAAAAACTTGACGGGACACAGTCCTAGGCAACCTGCTGTAGCTGACCCTGCTTAAGCAGGGGGTTTGGACCAGAGGCTCTCCAGAGGTACCTTCCAATCCCAACTAGTCTGTGATTCCATGAAAGCTGGCAACTCAACTAAAATTAGTGGGAGCTCTGCCTGAATATAAACTAGATGACCAAATTTTGTATGTTGTATATTCCAATGTTCTCTGGGATGACTGAAAAACAACTCTATCAAAAAAGAAAAGTTCTGTTGCATTAACAATGAGATCAAAAGTTTAACTGCTACATGGTAAGATACATCTTTATTTGTATATTACTTGTTATTTGGTATGTAAAAAAAGTACCTTATAACAGAGCTGGAAAATGATGAGACATCATAAAGGTTTATTCATCTATTGCACATCCAAGAACTTCTTAATACAATAAAAAATTAGAAATGCTGCAGAATGCTTCCTTCACAAGCAAGGCCTTCTGAGAGTAAGAAGGATCTATGATTACAATTCATTACAATATATGGCTCTTACATCACTTTTTGAGGCAGAAATGGCAAATCATTATGGAGGAGGGGAAAGCATATAATCCCCGAAACTGATAAGCAGAGCTCTTACTGCAAGAGAACTGACCCACCTTCTGTCTACACAAACGCTGCCCCACAAATTCAAGACAAATATTTTTGCTGTTGGCATATTGAAGTTCATCAATCATACACTGACATATTACAAAGTAAGGGCTGAGTTTGCAGCAGCAGAGCATCCCACATGAGTTACTGCTCCGCTACAGCTCTCAACAGTTCCAGTTTGCAGGAAAGGTTGCCAACTCTGTCTTCAAAATTATCAACTTATGCATGGCTCTCAAGTTCTTTAGACCCAAAAAGAAAGAGGAGAAATGTCAGTGTTTGCATAAGATCATGGCTACACAGAATTAGCATCCATCTGGTTTCCTCTGACTTTCTACTCTTCGGTAGTTGCAGCTTTACTTTCCACAGTTCCTCCAGGTTTTGTGGGGTTGTTTGTTTGTTTTTGGGGGTGGGACAGAAGAGGCAGGCAGGGGACAACAATCCAACTAGTTGTAGGGTCTTCACCCCCCCCCAAAAAAAAAAAAAAAAAGGACACGCAGCAAAAAGTAGCCAGGACAAAGCAACCCCCCAACACAAAAGAATCAGCTGTGTAACGACATCTTCAGATCTAAGAGCATGAGCATACAGGTGAATATATGTGAACATCGTTCCTGCTTAAATTGATACCGCCTCACGATGGTGGTAGCCTAGTCAGGATTAGTTTTCCCAACTGGGCACTGTCTTCCATTCTCCTGCAGACCTAGATACCTTCCCTTGGTTCATCAGACATTACTGACAAGGCAAATGTTTATAAGCTTCAGCCTCTCTAAAAACTGCTAAGGAGTAACATACCCCTGCTTTGAACCAGTGAGAGATCAGGGGAAAAATATTCAATCTCATCCTTAGGCAAGAGAGACACAGTTGAACCATAGCCTTCTACAGTCTGAGCTCTTACCGTAAAGTAACCAAGCATCCCTTACTGAGTAAAACAATCCTGTATATATGAGAGCAGAGGTTTTCTGCAAGTTACTAGCAGGCTCTAAGTAGCTCATCAGAAGCCACCCAGTCTATAGCAGACACTGTCCTCTTCCGTCTCCCCAGTGCCC